AGCACAGGGCCCATCAAGTGGCAGCCACTGCCTTCCTGCAAAGGGAAGATCATTGGATACCAGGTACCTGGGCACCATGGACTCCCTGTGGTCCCCTTCACCTTTCCAGGCACCTCCCTGCCTGGAGCTCTGTGCAGGCAGCCTGAAGAGAGGTGTGAGCCCTCCTCAGCCAGAGCCCACAAGCCCTACACTGCTGGTGTTTCTGGTGGGGTCAGGTCCCCTCCTGTCCCCAACCAGCAGTAGCAGCCCCTCTCCACAGAGCTGCCCTGAGCCGGAGCGGGAGGTCAGTGCTGCTCCCCACCAGCTCCCTATCCTTCCTCTAGCTGAACATCACGGCCAGGAGAGCGCACAATGGCAGCTTCCTTGAATTCAAGCAGGTGATGGTGAACCAGTCTGTCACTCAGTACACACCACCTCATCAGACACCTGGAAGCAAATACACCGTGACAGTGCAGGGCCTCACAGCGACTGGTGCGGGGGCTGCATCAGTGCTGGAATTTGAAAGCTATGTCTCAGGTAATGGTTGTTCTGCCCTGGGTCTGGCTGAGGTGGCCTCCCTGGGAGTGATCGCTGAGCCTGGAGCCGCTTCCAGAGCTGTGTGTGCACCCACCCCATTACCACCAAGAGAGAGGCAGGTTGTGTGGGCACCCTGGGACCTCGACTCAGCAGTGGGGACCATGGGGCTGGGGGAGTCCTGCTTCGACGAGGTGCATCGCCTGGTCCCCAGAGCAGCTGCATCGCTTCAGCCCACGGTTGTGCCTGTGAGAGCTGTGCTGGCCCCTCTACTCTTCCACTAAAGAAGGTGATACCCATCCCTGCACTGGAGTGCATGGAGGGCTCAAGGTCAGACAGCATTAGGGCTGCTCCACCTGTGTCTGTGTGTCCTCTTGCTGTGCGCAGCCTGGTTGAGCAGGCTTCCCGACTCTTCGGTTGTGTATGGGAGACGGGACGAATCCCTGTGCTCCAGACCCTCCCTCTCTCTGCACTGCCTAGCAGATGTGAGGGCAAGGGAAGGCTGTGCCTTGCTGCCTGTCCCTGCAGCAGCCAGGACAGCAGAAGCTGGACACACACGCCCACACACATGCAGACACCCAACACCAACATCGGGGCCATTGCTGGCGCACGGCCCAGTCTGTGGCACCCACTCCTGGCTGTGTGTTAGTTGCAGGGCAGCCTCTGGGTCCGTGGCCTGGGACGGCGGTCATGGTGGTGGTGGTGCTGTCGGTGCTGGTCCTCCTGTCTGCAGGGATCCTGTGGTTTGTGTTGTCCAGGTAGGTAGGCAGGAGCCTTGGAGTCACTGCTCTGCCTCAGGCCATGCTGTGCTGTGGGGTGACTGTCTCTGCCTTGACTCAGGACTGCTCTTTGCCTTCCCAGGAAAAGGAAGGCCTTGCCCAGCAAAGCCGAGGAGGACCATTACACAGGTAGGGCTGCCATCACAGAGACGGCTGCAAGGTTGGGGCGGGAGCAGGGCTGTGCCGGGAGAGCCTGGCCCTCAGGAGAACCGTCTGCATGTCCTCTTGCCATCTTGTGGTGGCTGCAGGCAGCTCAGCTGGCTCTGGCTGACTTGCCAGAGCAGTGTGTCCCACACCTGCTATCCCCAGCCGAATGCCTCCTCCGGCTGCCTCTTCCAGTAGCTCCTGGCTGGGGTCCCCCCATGGTGCCAGTGAGGGCTGGGAGCTGCCCCTGGTGGGAGGCGGCGCCTCTGCCCAGCTCTGCTGCCCTGCTGGTGTGTGTCCTGGGGCATCCCCCAGTGCTGCTGCCTGCCTGGGTCTGCCCTGCTCCTTCTCCTGTGTCCCCTGGCTCCCTCAGGCTGTTTCTGTCATCCCACCAGAGCTCCAGCCCTATGAGAACTTGGATAATTACTGTGTGGTCAAGAAGACTCTTCTGGCAGAAGAAGATGCAGGTAGGACACAGAGTGCCCAGCGTGTTCTCCCCAAACATGCAAACATGTTCCCACACGTGTTCCCACACAGAGTGGCAGGGGGGGGGGGGGGGGGTAGACACGCCGCCGCGGCCCCG